TGATGACTGCTCACAGAATGGAAGTTCACCAGCAAGAGGGCAACCAGTGCTCAGGACCACCCTTCAGCCACACTGACAACATTTCACATCCCATCCCTTCAGCTCCATGACCAAGAACCTCCATTGCTCTTCCAGCCAAGCTGCTTTCTGTCACAGTGGTGATGTCCTAAACCAAAAACCTTTGCATTTTGTTCCACAGCAGTGTGTTAGTGGGTTTCACGCAGCTGGCGCTTGTGTTCTCAGCTGCCTTATTTTATTAAAAGATTCTAAAATACCCCAAATATTTTTACTTTTGCCCTGTTGGAAGTGGTCACAGCAGCCTCAAGGGTGTGGTGCAATTGCAGGCTCGAGGGAGGGTGGCCCATGGCATGGCAAGTGGGAAGGGAGGTGTCTGAGTCAGATTCTCCATTAATGCATGTTGTCTGTGCTGCAGGAAATCTTGAGAATGTCTGCACTGGGAAATACCATTCCTCCTCCCCTGGTACCAGTTATCCCAGCCACCTCACTGGGTACTGTTAGCTGATGTGCCGATGATAGCCAGTCAGACGTGTGTCTGAACAGCTTCAACACGCCAAAGTCTGTGGTGATGGTTTCCTTGTGGGTGAGAAGGGCAGAAGGTGGTTGCAGCCATGATGGAATCTGATTCCTAGGAGGAAAGATCAGTAGATTTGAATTCTTAGTTTTAAAGACGCCTGAATTCCGTGACAATGCTTCTTTTGGGCACAACCTGCCTTGCACAGTCTGGTTTAACGCTGGACTGCCAAAATGGCTGTGAATAACCCGTGCTGAGCACAGTCTCCTCGTTTTTCATTGAGTCCTTTAAGGTCTGGTTGTTTTCTCCCTGGGGTTCCTCCTAGCCTTAACGACCACAGTTTGAGCCAGCTTGGGTTTTCGTTTGAAAGGACGGTGTGCTGGGCACCGCGGGCAGGATGCTGGCCATGGGGGGCTGCTGAGGAGAGACCTGGAGTTGCCCGTGCCGGACACGGCCGGTTCCAGCCGGCCTCACCGCAGGGTGTAGTGCAGCCCGTCAGCAAAGCTGTTGGCGCCTCTGTGGAAACATGTTCAGGGAAAGGCAAAGGGCTGCGTAGGCAGTGAGGAGAAAAGTGTGAGGAAAAAAGTGTGTGTGGGCAGGAGGCGCTCCAGGTGCCCGAGCAGGGATTGCCCCGCAGCCCGCGAGGCGGCCATGGCGGGGCAGGTGGCTGCTCCCTGAGGAACAGTAGCCTGTGGAGAGCAGCCTGCTCTGGCGCAGGTTCTCCTGACAGAACTTGGCCTGTGGAGAGGACCCATCCTGCAGCAGGGGAGAAGCGTGAGGCGGCAGGAGCAGCGGAGAGGAGCTGTTATGGGCTGACCAGAACCTCCGTTCTCCATCCTCCGGCGGGGGTTGCGGTAAGAGGCAGAAAAGTCGGGAGTGGAGGGGAGAAGTTCAGCTTGGGAAAAAGTGGTGGGATGAGGTGAGGGGAAAGAGGTGTTTTAATTTATCTTTGTTTCTCTCAATACAAATTATTTTAATTGGCAATAAATGAAATTTTCCCCAAGTCAAATGAGTTTTGCCTATGATGGTAAGTGATCTCCCTCTCTTTATCTCAACTCACAAGCTTTTTCATCTTATTTTGTCCTTCTGCCCTGTTGAGAAGAGGTTATGAGAGAGTGGCTGGGTGAGGTGTGGCAGGCTTCTCGTCAGAGAAGCCCAAGTGCCATGGGGCTGGTTGCCCCTCAGTCTCCAGCTCCGTGCCTCCATTTCAGTCCTGCGTCTGGGCTAAGTGCAAGGGCAGATCACTTGTGCAGAACTGTCTTGTGTTCTGTTTTAACTTAGAAGGTCCTCTCAGTATAGTGAAGGAGAGTATATGTCCTGTACTGACTCAGTTAATGAATAAGAGCTGTTTGGGTGGTGATGTTTGCTTGTGCAGACTAATTTGCAGGCACGATTTTAGGTCTGTTTTCTTGTTAATTTGCCTGCATATCTTAGCTCATTTTGAACGACAAGTTTATTTTTGGGTGGAGTGTGAACAGTTCTCAGCTAAATCTATGTAGACCTTTCTGTATAAAACTTTATAGGGTGCTTTTTGCTAACTGGAAAAGAAATAGAAGAATCGGCAAAGGCACACTTTGTGTCCCCACTTTTCAACATGGTTCATGAAAACGTTGGAAATTGTAAATGTGATATTTTGACAGTGTCCTGCAGCTCTGGAACTGGACCATCTTAAATCACAGTGCTTATGTCTTCTTCAGCTAAGCTCGTTATGATCATACTTTAAATTCTGAGAAAGTGCAGAGTTGTATGAAACAAACAACAAAAAAAGATTACTCTTCCTCTGGCAACTGTCTATCCATCTCTCAGAAAAATTCTTAAAACTTCATTAAGAAATTATTTACCCCAACATGTAGGTATTGTTAGCTATCGTACTTCCTTGCCTTTTGCTAGTAATAAATCACCTACTTAGAGATTCGTCGTCATAGTTAAACAACTCATAAGCATGGCCAGAGTATGCACTGCCACTTTTGTTTGCATCACATCTTTAAAATTCTGTGCAGTCTATCCTAAAACATCAGGAGAAATGCTTCTTGCGAATACACTTGGATTTGTGCCGAAACGATGATCAGCATCCTGTCATTAGCAGCCTGGTGGGCCAGCACTGTGGTGTCAGGCAAGTTACAGTATGTGTACCTGTGCTCACATTAACCTACTGATTGCAATGCAAAGGAACCAGTTGGCTGCACTGTACCAAGCATCTGCCTTTTAATCCAGTCAGAGCTCATGGAGTGAAAAGTCTGGTTCAGCCTCTGAGGCATTCAGTGTTGGGGGATGGAAGCAGAGCTAGCTGGAGCAGATCTCGGATGAGAAAGGGTCTGCCTCCTCTCTAGGTGGATTGTGTTTGAATGCTTTAGTTGTGCTGAAGTAGAACAGCCACTTGTACCAGTCAGGCTTATTTAGAAGAGAGAAAGGTTATTGTCCCTACTAGGCAACACAAACTAGTATCAATCTGGGGCTTCTTTGGGCTCCATTTAAGAGAAAAAGCAAACAAACCTTGAATAAACAAGCAAAGTAAAGCCTCTTTTGCATGCCTAGTGTCTTTTTGGTTTAGTATCCAACTGTTGCTGCTGCTAGATTGGGCTCTTCTGAGATCCCTAAGGGATGCAAATACAAATGCAGTTATCCTTAAGACAGAGAGCACAAGAGAGGCTGATGGCCTTCAAAATGACGTGCTAAACTCTCCAGCAGCTGGTTCTTGCTATGCAAGTTTTGCCAGTAAAAGCTACCTTTTGAAGTCAGTGGTGTTTGGATCTCTGGGTCTGGAGCAGGCAGCTTGTCTGCTCTGATGGAAGGGCAAACATCATCATCCATTAGGTTTAGGGATAAGAACCTATTTGTGTACTCTCATTTTATGAGTAGAAACTTTATGGGATGGTCAGAGCTAGCAGTGAGCTGGGCAAATCAAAGGCATCCATCACATGCAAATGTTTGTCAGTCTCTGCAAGTAGTACATGAGAGATTGACTCGATCAGCATGATGCCCCATTGACCCTCTCAACTGAATGTCCCAGTCTCCATTTACACATAGGTCAACTGTCAGAGCCCTTCTCCACAAGTGTCAAGTTTATCCCCTCGGGTCTGTAGCAAGAGGCCTTAGCTACTCTACCAACATACCACTGAGCTAAGCAAATAGTACCAGCACTTGTATACATTTGTGTGCCAGCCTCGGGGAAGATAAATGGCTTATTGTGCTCAGACTGAAGGTCAGTGGGTCAAATACTGAGTAGTCTGTTTTGCAATCAGTGCCTAAATTATAGGAAACGTTTATGTGCGTGCTTGAATCCAACCCCAAACACTAAAGAGCTTAAGAACGCTCTTAAACTGAGCACATTCCTGAGTATTTGCGCAAATAGGAAAAATACCGAGCGTTGAAAGCATAATATCCAAAATGTGTTCATGTCTTGGGTTTGTTTTAGGAAGCTAGCTGAGTCTGTTGATATTTCTAGCCAAACAAGATGTGGATAAGGAATATAGCTTACCTGCGGCCAAATACGGCCTCCCATTAGTGAAGACTACTCTCTTCAGTAGCTTTGATTTTATTTTTTTGACTGGGTAGGGAATACAATACTCATCCAAAAGTTATTATGTGGTATTATACACCTTTTTAAAATAAACCTCTCCCTCACCTTTTTTGATGTAGTCTAGTTAAAGCATTTGTACATGGAGAAATGGATGGAATAAAATTCTGGCATCAATTAATATCTTATGTTCTAACCTATAAAAATGAGGTGAAGTATCTGAGCTGGAATGCAAAATCTGGAGAAAGTAGTAAGGTAGTTTCCGGTGCTATTTTTGTATTTCCTGAGGCTTGTGTCATTATGTGCTGCCTTATTACTATTCTCTTATAGAAGATATGAAAATAACAGAGGGAAATTGCTTTTCCATTCTATTTCCTGAAGTCTAAAACGCACCATTATTTCATTTTGCATTCAGATATCTCTGGTACTTAAATGCTGAAGATCCATATTAGTTGGATGCTTCATAACGTATGTCCATATTCCTGAGACTTTGGTTTATGTTTAGAGTTCCTTTGTAATATTTCTCTCCTTTCCTTTGTTTTTTCTCTCGTTTGTTTGTATTTAAAGTATTTTTCTTTCTGCAACTAGCTTGTGTATTTTTGTTTTATTTTTTTTATGTTTTTTTTTGTCCCGGAATGCCAAATCTTGCTCAGATGAGTCTGTGACAAATTGGTCAGGTGGTCAAGCCTAGTGCAGTACGGTAGGAGCAAACCTACTCTGTTTTTGCAAGTGTTTTAGCTACACCATAGTATGTGGAACTGTGAGAGTGGTAACATAGTAGCTCTTAAAAATTCTTTATTTCATTGAGTGTAGAAGCACAACCCATTTGAGTTTGTTTTGTGTCATTTTTTTGAAGGACAAATGTCTAACTTTTAGTCACAATTAGTTCCTTCAACTGTGACTAGGTCTTTGTATTGTTACTTATACACTGTTTCCTTTGCATTTTGACAGGTGTACAACATGTTTCAACATCAAAGTCTTGGAATTAAAGTCAGCATTCGAGTGACCAAACTAGTCCTGCTTCGCAACCGTCCTGTGAGTTCTAATTCATTTTTACCCTGCTGCTATAATGGTACTGCGGTAGTCTCACCGGCAGAGCAGGATCTCTGTGCTGGGGTGGGAGGTGGAAGCAGGGCATGCCTGGCCACACGATCACAAGTTGAAGTAGTCCCTGCCACACTTCACCAGGCAATGAAGTGTACGGGGCTGTGGGAATGAAAGGAGCTACAGTTCTTTTATTTATCCTTCCTGCTAAATCTTTGTCTTGTTGTAGTTGCAAAGCAGTCTCAGGAGTTAACTGTTACAAAGATTAAAAATTATATGGCTCTGGCATCAAACATATAACATCCAGATTTACAAGACTTTTGAATGTAGTGCTGTATTAGAAGCTTATGACTGCTGCCAGCCGATGGAGGTTGTTCGGTAAATCAAGTGAGAGAAGTCAGTGTGGATTACAGATTATCTAGTTCAGTTGCCCAGATGAAGCTGGTTTCGCACTTTTCATTCTATCCCATCTATATCTTTGAGTCTCTGATTTTTCATCAGAGGTCTAATGCTTTATGTAAAGGCTCTAACTGATATTTCTTCTTTTGTATCTCTTTTTTTTTTCCCCAAAAGGCAAAGTTGTCTATCGGGCATCATGGAGAGAGGTCTCTGGAGAGCTTTTGTCAGTGGCAAAATGAAGAATATGGAGGGGCAAAATACCTTGGTAACAACCAGGTTCCTGGTGCGAGGGATGACACCCCTCCTGTGGATGCTGCTGTTTTTGTAACCAGGTATAGTAAGGTCTGATTTACCAGTTTACTTCAACCAGTACTGGCCCATAGTCAATGCTGGGGTTGTCTGGTCTAGCAGTAATCTAAGCAGATGATTTGTTGATGATGATACATTTGCTACCTACGTGCTGTTCATGTGGTTCAGATGCCTCAAATGCAAGTGATCTGGCTTGTTTCTGTGTATGCGCAACAAGGTTGTGCAAAAGCATCTCTCCTCTTGAACCAGAGTGGTGGTGTAGTCGTGGTCACTATAGCATGTAGTAGTCAGGATACAGGCAAGATATGGCTGTAGCACAGGTTATACTTGTTTTCTCACACTAGCTGGTATAAATGAAAAAAACAGGGGAGGTTTTGGAAGAGAAGCCCTTTTCCTTAGAAGAAAGAAGCTATGGAATTGAGAACGCAGCTGAGAACAAGGTACTCTGTGTGTAATTAGGTATGAATCAACTGAACAGTCTGAGAGGAGCAGACAGTGTGTCACTAGTGGGGAGGTGGTGAGGCAGTTATCTCCTAAAGAAAGTGAGAGATTAGTACTATAAACAAAATTAATTTTCTCTCTCTTTGCCCTAGGAAATAACCACTTTATCATCCCTCCTGTCACAACTGAGATACAGGAGAGGTGTCGTTCTTAATTTGTTTGTATATTTGAAAACTGCTGCATTTATTTCAGACATGAAATAATCCATGTATGAATACTTGAGCAAAATTCCTTGCAGCCCACAGCTCTGTACCTATTGATGTATCAAACACATCAAGATATGGCCTAGATAAAGTAAGCAAAAAGGCCTGTAGCCTTTTTTCTTTTTTCCTCTAACTTCTCTACCTGAGCTCAACCTCGCAATACAATGCAAGTCCCACCATAAATTTTGAGTAGCAAATCCATGGTCTTTTAAATTGATTGCATACTTTAAGATGTAGATGAAGAATGCATTGTTATAGAAATGATCTCTGAATAATTAAAGTGAGCACAAAAATGTAGTGTAAGATGGATCTGTATGTGTTAGAAAACACTGCTTCCTACCCGCTTCTTCCCCAACTGGAGGCAGGAAATGTCTGCACTGCAGTTCAGTATTACTCACCTCTTTCACCCTTTTTTCTCTGCCAAAAATGTAAGTAGAAATACATGTTTTTGCATAAACTGCGATTCTGATTGTAATACTCTATTGTGTTAATAGTCACATTGCAAACTATTCATGGGATTTTGGTGAGCGTTCAGTAAAATAGCTGGTGGGCAGGGCATGGGGCCAGCAAAGTTCCTAAGAATGCACCTTCACAGACGGGTGCAGTTCCCCCAAATCCTGCTCTCTCCTCTGTATTCAGTGTAGTCCAACCAAGCACTTAAGCAGATACTTAACATTTTAGACAGGGTGGATAGTTCCTTTGAAGTCAATGGGCTGCACATCCTGGTTATAGTTAAGCATGTGCTTCATTGGATCAAGGCCTAAATAAATAACTAACATTTTTGTTAAACTCATCTGGGCATCCAGTTGTCCTGCATGACAAGTGAGGCATACAGAATCTCTTCTGATGTGCTCTAAGCACAGGATGGAGGGAATGAGCAGAGCATTTCATCTGTGCGGTCTCTCTGCAGCTTATAAAATTGAATGCGTAATGTCAGGCTAAATGAGTGGGACTCAGGCATCTGAGGAAGAATTGTAGAAAGAATTTGAAGGAAGAATTGTTCAATGGATTTGCAGAGTTTTGCAGTCAGAATAGCTGGAGAAGTAGAGGTTTGGTTAGGTTAGAAACTAGTTTCAGATTTGGTGAGAAAGTTCAGGCCAGGGAGCACATTGCTGTGCATAAGAGCAGCGTTTTTCCTGTTTGATAGACCAGCAGTGTGTATTTGTCGTCTTTTTCCTTCCTTCTCGCTGTGTCTTGTCATCTTTAACCCATCCAGCCTTCTGCCGCGTTGCTTGGAAGACTTTTGGCCCAGCAGCCTGACTCCTGTGTCAGGGAAATGACGTTTTCTACTCTTGGCTTTGGAAGTGTGTATGTGTGCGTGTGTGTCCCTGGACCCTCCCCAGACTGTACAGATGGACCAGTGGTAGAGGATATGGGAGCAACAGCATGTCCAGCACAAGCAATTGCGCCAGAAAAAGCAGAAGCTGGATTTTCAGCAGCTGCAGCTGCTTTAGGACTAGAAACAGATTCTTTGGGGTCAACCTCTGAAGAATCCCTCTGGTTGCAATCTGGCTGTGTTCATTTGAAACACCAAGGCACGTCTGCCTTTTGAAACTTCACCTCTAACTGATGTTCCCCATATTCTCATTTGTATGCAAAAGTAGATTACTAAGGTGGCAAATATCCCTCCTGTGGGATTTTAGTAGTATCCACCTGATTGAGTTCCAGGTAAGAGGCATACTGTATCTGTGAAATAAGGTGTACCATTGTCTGGTTCAGTAAATAAATGAGGCAGTGTGAATAATCTATTATAGCACTGAAGGTCTGAGTCTAGTGTTGTGGTCTCTATAATCATCAGTCTTTTCTTCTTCACATTCTATTTTTGAACTTGCAGAAATTCATATCTCTGGCATCTAAAGACAATGGACTTCCTATTTTAATGGGCAGCTGACCAGAATAACTTCTGTTTGCAGAATCTGTATCTTAGTGATCTTAGAAGCATGTGTCATTTGAAACACATTCCTCCTCTTGATCTGTCCTTTGCATTCCCTAAGGAATCTTCACACATACTGATGTTCTCCCAACCTCCTGGCTGTAGGTGTTTGGGTCACTTATTAGACCATAGGTGATGTGACAGGAGAGCAAAGAATGACACAACACTGATGGGAACAGAATTCAGAGCTGTCATTAAGCAAAGACTTGTTTTTTTCCTGACATACTGGTGTAGTTACTCAATTTGCAGCCTGCTCCTCCCTTCCACATTTCTTCAGACTTTTGCCTTCCCATTAAATGGGCAAAGGAAGCAATTCAATGTGCATCAAGGAAACTGGGCGCGTAGTGCTACTAAATGTATATATCGATGTGGAAAGTTGTTTTTGGCAGGCTTTTGACTGTACCAGTTGCCTCTGTCCTTTAGCTTTATGAACCTGCAGGGTTAAACTGGTCAAAAGGTGCCATTTGAGGGATGCTGGGAATTGGCCATTAAACAGAATATTTCTTATTCATGTTGTACAGTTCAACTACTGTCCTTCTTTCTTACAGGAAAGACTTGAATTGCAGAATTTAGCTTAGTACAGTTAGGTATTTTTTTCCAGTTTGTGTGAGCCAGATGGAAGAGTGACTGTAGGAGGAGTTCTGAGCTCTTCTTTTCTGGTTATTTTGATTAAACAAAACAACTGACTTGTCATTTTTTCAGGAGAATTGTTTAAGTCTGCTAATGGAAACATTATGTGCAGTACCACAAGTGATGACTGAGAATTTCACAGGTCCCTAGGAGATGAGAACACTGCTTGATACCGTCAGTGGCTAAAAGTGAAGAGTAAAATTGCTTCACGACTACAGTGTGCGATGTCAATACGTTATCCAAGGCTTAGCGCGATAAGGTCAGGTCTTGGATTTGAACCGCAGCTCCTGGAGTAAGAGTTTTATTCCAACGCAGCTCTATAAAAGATTCTGCTAACAGAACTATGTCCCTGTGGTAAGAGACCTCTGCACATGCAATGAATATTAAGGTAGCTTTTTTATATCCTTGGAGTATCATTATAGTATGATTCATGTCAAGCTCTCACTTCAAAATATAGATGCAGTCAAGCTTAAAAATGCACCAGAGAGACCTGTGATTGAAATCTTTTTAGCAGCAGATCAGCTTCAGTGCCACGATGGGGCCATCTTACCTCAGTGGTGTGACTGATCCACAGGTAAGACAGATCTTTCTGAATGCCTTTTCAGTCTTCGGCTCCCCTCTGGCTGTCAGGAAAGGACCGCAGGAGTTTCAGTGTATAGGTTTTGTGATGGGGTGGCTGTTTGCTTTTGGAAGAAGACTGAGACCCACTGAGCTCCTTTGTGACTAAAGGTTTGGATGTGCTTTTCCGTTTGGCCACAGAGTTTTGGGGTATAATGTTTACAGTAGGTTCAGATTATTTAAAGCCTAGCCTTTTAGTACAAGATCTTTGATTAGGCGGCCGGCATCTCTTGGGCTTGTCTTTATGACAGTTTGAAGGACGGGCTGAGGAGGTTTCATGCTTTCAGGCCCACATGCAGTGAACTGGGCAGCTATGTTCAGTTCTTCTTGCTGACCTGTTCCAAACCCTTCCCTGACCAGGCAGCATCACAGCACTCTCTTCACAGACAGGGTTGTTCTACCTCTGTAGGAGAGTCTCTTGCAGCAAGTTGTGCTGGGTCATTTAATAGACCCTTCATTTTAAGGCACGGTGGTAATTTCTCCAGGGAGCTGCCTGAAAGTGCCAGACACCTTTCAGTGGAGAACACAGTGCAAGGAGCAAAATTGCTGTGCTTTATTTGCAGAGCTGGCCAGCCCTAAAGAGAGATGCTTTTCTAGCAATGGCCTCCTGCCATCTACTAATAGTTCAGCTATCTGTTGTCACAAGAAAAGCATCTGTTTGATTTACCAGTTTATATAACATAATAAGTCCTTAAATAAACCTCCGTCACGTTGACTCTGGGAGCTCAAGCAGACGTGTTTGTGCCAGCTCCGTCAGGAGACTGTCATTAGTCTTCTTTGGAAAGGCTGGAATGCCAAGGTGCCGAGACGCAGTAAGGCTGCGGTGAAAAATGAAAGCTGGGGCCAATGTGCAGTCGTAGCTTCCGATTTTGTTTTGTTCCTATCTGATTTTTTACAACTTCTATGGTTGTTACGGTTTTTCTGCATCGCAGCATGGTTAGTTTTCAACGTCTGCTTTACAAGAGCTGGTAATAGCTGTTGTTTCTCTCCTTATGAGCCCTGACAACTTGATTTGTGACTTTCAAAGGAGTTTAGTGTGAAGGGTTTGGGTTCATCAGCCACAGTTCTGGGCCTTAAATCCCATTTCTTATAAACCCTAGTTTCATATTTTTTTTCTCAAGAAAAAAATATTTTTAATCTTTCTCTAAGTATTTTCTTTTTCTAAGTACTTATCTTTAAGTATTCTCTAAGTATTATCTTTCTCTAAGCATTTTTAATCTCTCCCCTGCCAAAGTCTTAAACTCAAAATCCCCCTGGGGACTCAGGCATTTCAAATGACACGCTCCAAATGTACTAATATGCTTCTCTCACTAGCCTCCCCACAGGGTGAGGAAAGCCATAATGATAGGGATTATGGTTCCTTGGCTTCCCTTGGGTTAAGGAACTTCTGAAATGTTTTAGCACATGTGATGCTTCTCTCCAGCTCCTCTTCGTAGCGGATAGCACAGCAAAGCAGGTCTGGTGAAGATAGCTCCTAAAGTTTAGGTCTGAGTGCCTATTGAAATGTATTCAAACCGTTCATTTAGGTATAAAATACTTGTCCTCCCACACTTGTTTTTCTGTCATGAGCAATCTCATTCACAAAATCTTCTCACATCACATAGATGGGATGAGTTTCAAGGCTTTTTATTCTGTTTCTGTTTAATACAGCTCTGTGGATCCCTGGTTGATTTGTGGGTGCCAGTGGCATATGTACTATCTCTTTCTGCCTGGATGAGATCTGGGGAGACTGAATGAGATGTGAGGAAATAACAGAGACCAAATGAAGTCTCTTGAACCCCTCTGTGTTTGATTCAAATCATAAAATAGCAAATGTGACTGTAATAGGTTTATCTGAAGCCAATTCACCTAGCTGCTAGTTGGCAAATCCTGAAATTCTCTTCTTCTTTGTCAAAGTCTGTCTTTCTCTGTTTAGTCTTGCTTGTCCTTTTCTATTCCAGTGGAAGAAGGAAAAAACCTGAAGAACTCAGAATGTCTTGGTATACATGATCAGTTCTGTGTCTCCAGGCGGTGTCCCTATGTATCTTCTCCTCCCACTTTTGATGGTGCTGTTGCATCACAGGGTGTCTGCTCCTTTTTGTTACAGTTCTCTTGTGAAAATAAGAGAGTTGCTGAAGAAGTCTGACATCATAGTGTGGCAGTACTCTTCTACGTGCTAAATCTTAAATCTATTAAATTAGACTGTAGTGTATGGAGCTGATTCACATAATTGCTTGTAGTCTTGCAGTAGCAATCAGTGCTGCTATCTATGTTGTCATCGTGTAGACTGCACAGCAGTTTAAAAAACCCCCAAACCTCAACACCCATGATATGTGAGTCATACACATCGCTGCTTTTTCCTAGCCTGAAGTCTGGAGGCACAGGATATGTTTCACTTCTGTTCTGTTTTTCTTTCTAGGACAGATTTCTGCGTACACAAAGACGAGCCTTGTGACACTGTGGGTAAGTCAAAGAAGTAGGGGACAGTATTGTGATAGCCACCTCTATGCTAAGAGGAGCTTTCTGGGCAATCTTTCATTCTTTGGTTTGCCGTAATGTCGCTTTTGCTATTCTGTATACGTCTGTGATGCAAATATGGATTAGCTGAGCAGGGTATGAACTATAAATAAGCCATTAAATATTAAACCCTTCCAAGTACTGGAGGTCTCTGAGTTCAGGAAATGCTCTTAAGTTTTCTGCTTCTTTGGAGCAGATGTAGAATTAGATAATTGGAGATCAAGAAACTGTTTTTTGATGTGTCTGTATAATGCTCCTTTCAGTGCTCTCTCACCTGAACCAAGAATTTGCTAACTGATGAATGTATTTCCCTTGTAAGAACCTGTGTAACACTCCCAGATCAAACTGGCACTCAGACACCAGAGAAGAATACCTCACTGTAGGAAAGCCAAGTTAAATCTTCTTTTCTGCTTCCTACTCCTCCTACTTCCTAACTGCCTTTAATCTTATTCAAACCCTGGATACACAGGGTCCTTACATCCTACACATTAAATACTCTATTTATTTGTTTATTTAACTTAGGTAGCAGTAACCTTCACTGTATCTGTAGCAGCAGTGTTTGGAGGCATAGCTCAACATCTTCTCTATGATGACTGGATGATTTTTTAGACTTGCCTGAAAGTCAAGCAGCCCCTTATCCTACATTCTGTGTAAACTTGGAGTGGATCTTGATTTTCAGCTGATTGTACACTCTGGTGTTCAGAGGGACACTCGCAGACTAGGGGTTGCTATGCTGATGGTAGTGGGTGATGAAGAGCATGGGGGAAGTTGCCTGCAGCAGGAGCTCTGAGGCTACCTACAGAAGTCTCATCTCAGAATGCAGGTCCTTCCCTCTCTGTGTGGTGGGGATTGATCAGGTGACAGGAGGAAATACAGAGCTGAAAAATATATACATTTTCTTCTCAAATATGAGCAAGGCCTGGCCTCTACATCGAAGTTTTCCAGTGGGAATCCCTCACAATGTGTGTATTCTATGTCCAATGGAAAACACGCTTCCACTGGGGAAGGTTTTTATACGGTGTAGCAGTGTCTGGAGTTGGCTGTGGTAAGATACAATAAAGAAGTTACAAAAAAAAATAAAAATGAGGAGCTGATGGAAGACACATGCTGATTAAGGTCAGAGCTCTTTCCATTTTTAAAGACTGTATTGTTGAAGATCTCTGTTCAGGGAATGATATTGCCATAGACAGCATGACTAAGGAAATATGTTATGGCTTCTTTTCTGTTCTTACAATACCCACGTACTTTCTTGTGATGTGACTTGCTGGAGGCTGTGGCTCCAGTAAAGAAAGTGGAAGATCAGAGCAATAAAGATAAAACTCATTTGTTACTCTTTCCAGCATAGTTTTTCCAAGACACTTAGAAGGTGAATGTTCTGGGATGAAACCAGTCTGGCCTCTTTGCTCTCTTCAATCCTACTTTTCTTTCCTTCTCCCCTGACAGTTTCATTATGTGGCAGCAAAGCACTAGCATCTTCACTTCTGCATCTTTTATGCCTCACCGTTTCTGTTGTCTGAACCCAGAGGCAGTGTGCCTTATCCCCGAGTACAGATTAAGTCCTCTGTCACATGATACTTTTCTTAAATACTGTTGAAATAAGTAAATATTTTTATAACATTGATTTTTCAAGCATTATTGCTGTACCCAAATTGGTGAGTTACTGCAGCCATCTCAGATAATCTACAATTTAGGCCCTTATTTTTGTGTTGTATATACTGGCAGCATATTTTGAAAGTTTTCTTCAAACCCTAAACCAAGGAACTATTCTGGTAGGACTGCAATCTGAATGAGGTCTTCCCAAGTTATACTGTACTCTGATATCTTCTCTGTCCCTGCCCTGAGAAATACTTAGAATCATGGAATGGTTTGGGTTGGACAGGACCTTAATGATCATCTAGTTCTGTCCCCCCTGCCATGGGAGTACTTCTTACGCTTAGTGGCTGGAGGTAGAGCCTGAAGAGGATAACCAATTCCTCTGGTCACCAGCTTGATAAGGAGAAATGCAGTGACTCAATATGAAACTGGAATGCTGGATTTTGATGGATTCCTATCCATAAAACAGGTATTTCATGTTTGAGTCCTTACATTTGTCCTAAACCCATAAGATAGTATCTGATAACTATGGACAATGTGTGTGGTGCCCCGAATGTATCATATACTTGTGATTTATACCAAGATCATTGTCTCTGCCTTCTGTGGATGGATATAGCACTGTATTAGCCTCATTCCCCTTTCTCTGCCAAAGGGATTGTATTGGTGATATAACTATGTGATTTTTCTTTACTGATGAAAGTTAGGCCATATGTAATCCATTCATATTACAGTTATTAGACCAGAGGGGAATTTGGCCTTGTCGTGTCATTTGCATATGTGTCACAGCAGAGGAAGAATAAATTAAGGAATGTACTTCCGTGACATGCAACTGGTTTGAAAAAGTGGTTAGTGTTGGTAGTACTAAATTTTAACTGTCAGAAAGATTCTCCAGTTTTCCTCCTTAGTCAGAACAGGGAAAACCAGGTGTCAGTGGCAGACTGACTGGTTTTTAATAGCCACCATTTGTGCCCTGTATATATACATGGTTTCTATAAGTAGCAATGTTTCACAGCGTTTACTTGGGCTTGATACGAGAGCGACGATCAAAGTAGGCTGATGGCCATTTGTATACCATATTGGCTTTTGGAGAATTGTGTTGACTTTTCAGCCATCTCTATTGTTGCTAGATTCCTGTTCCTCACTCCAGCTCCCAGATTGTACCCTCTAAATCAGCAAGACCACCAGCAAAAGCAAGAGGCTAGTCCAAAGAGTGGCATCGCATTTGGACTTGATGGTGATGCTGAGGTTATAGTACTCCCCAAAGTTCTCTAGAACAGCAACTTGCTTTCATTTCTTCCCTTATACTTTGTTGTTAATATGAAGAACATGGTCTCAGCAGATGCATATGTGTTTTTATACCAGCTTATGGATGAAGCTGGCCATTGCAATGTGGTACACTGCCGTGCTGTAAAGGAAGAAACATCCTTTGGGTGAGCAAGCGCCCTCCTCCCCTGGGAGACTGAGGCTACCACTCTATATAAGGCAGAGAATCTGGTCTCTAGACTCTTGATTTCTATTCCCAGCTCTGGCATTGACTTGTTGTGCGATGTTTGGCAAGTCACTTACGTTCTGAATGCTTCTGTCTACCTCTATGAAATGAGGATTTTCAGTGCAAAGCTACAGGACATTGCATGGCTTAAGAGGTTCTCGTATAAAGCGCTGTGATGTCCTTGAGTATATGATGCAATTCAAGTCCAGAATCTAATGTTGCTTAGTCATGTTTAAAAGACTATAAAGAATCTATTAGATTATGCGTACTGAAATAAGAGGACTCAGAGCGCTGTAGGTAACGGGTTTTTTAGTGACAGTGCCTTGATTTTCTTTACATTGTGAGAAATATGGAAGCAAAGCTTTCCCTGGTGGAATTATTGAGGCCCAGCTGTTGTTCGGAAGTGGGATTATGAAGTTTAAGTGGCTTATAAGAGGTGTTCATTTGTGCTCAAAAAGATCCATATTGAAAAACCTGTCTGGAATCTTTGCCTGCCATGCAGACACAGAGAGAAAACAGCAGCAGGAGGTTTGTATTTGTATTCTGGCAGGGGCCCCTCACTGAAACCAGTTGCTCTGGGGACTTCGTTCAAGTTTTTTTGGCCCAGCTGCCAAGGTAGTGTGGAAGGTTACATAATGGCTGAAACAAGCTCAAAAATGGTGAAAATATGTAGGTATGTCTTTGTGGGATGATACCCCACTGGCGCTGCATCAAGAAACAGAACCACCTTTGTTTAGGAAACAGTTTGTTAGCGTTCGTTGCCCCACTTGTTTGTCTGAGTTAGCCCTAAGAACTAGTGAATTCAAGAGGAGGCAGACAGAAGGAAAGCAACATGCCTGTGTGCAATACATTGGCAATGGTTGTTTCAGACCTCCGATACGCTCCGCAGTTTGAGCAGGAACGTTCGCTTTGTGCAACGCAGCCTTGTCACACACCGGTCAAAAAGTCTGCAGCCTGCTGCTGCCTCAGACTCATCTCTCGTGATGTGACTCTAACCAGATCTGCCGTTTCCTGCAGAAAAATCTTTGTTCCAATTGAGCCACCTCTAAGCCAGCCAAATTGAGAGTTTAATGTCTAGCTATTAATATCAGGCTGCAGCTTGGAGCCTTGCTCGTTGTCAGAATCCAACCTTTCTGTGACATAAGCAGATGGAGAATGCCCCTTTCGTTCAATATTTCCACTGCTAGTGCCAAATAAGCAGCTTTACGGTTAGTTAGGAATGATCCTGCATATTTCAAGGCAAAGCTTGGCCTTGATTCCTCAGTGTACATGTTACCCCAGATCCAAGCTGAAGCTTCCCTGTATTCAGCTAATAATAAAAGTGGGGGCAGTGTGGAATTGGGAAATGGAAAATAAGAGTGTGTCTTAAATATCCTTAAATTGCCCTGGTTAAAAATGTCTTTACCTCTGCTGCAGTCACATGTGCTTTTCTGTGGCTCAATGCTGGGGAAAAGAAAGCAGAGTACAGTGCATGTGCTGCAGATGGGCAGGTCTAGTTGAAGGAATAGCTGCCTGGAGAAAACTGAGCATCAGAGCGGAGGTGATGGAGAAACATAGTTTTCCGTACTGTTTCCACAAGTGAAGCAATGTTTTGTGAAAAACATTCCCATCTCCTGGCTGGCTTTAATTAAAAGGCTCAAAGATAACTTACTGAGAGTCCTGAAGATTATAAATCCTTCCATAATTTGTGTCCTTTTTCTTGAGTCTTCCAAACACTGATATGTGAATGGGGAAATCAGGTTTTGCTTTTGTCACCGTGCTGCTGAGTGACTGCACAGATGACATCCTTCTGCTGTACCAGTGTGTTCATATCTTGGTCCTTTCCTTATTTCAAAGTGAGTAGAGAGCTATGGGTGAACAGTGC